TAACGTTGGCCCTGCTGTTAAGCTAACGAAATGCACTGCAGGGATAACTGACACTTTCACCCACGATACCAACAACTGATGATCTGTATTCATGATACAAATTATGTCATTGCACATGTGATATATTTGATTCAGTTATAAATATTAACCTGTTTTACTTTTCTTTGTTCCAGGACTGCTCGTTCAACAAGCTGCGGTCTGATACAGCGATCAAAGTCTCATTCCAGGGAAATATGAGAGTCGTTGGTTCTCAAAAGTGTAACCGGTGGTTCTTCAAGTTTAATGGTAATGAATGCAGCGTACCAATGACAATCGAAGCTGTTGTGTACAACTATTGGCCATCTGGGAATCCCAATCTGCTTCATCATCGATCATTTGAGGGATACTGTGAAAACATCCCACAGGGCACGGTTAGAGTGGAACTATGGGTAGGACAGTGTCCTGGCTATACTTTGGGTGACGCTAACACTGGATGGAAATCAGTGTCCCGGATAATGATTGAGGAAGTGTCTAGGTCCCAGTCTTAATCAGTTCTCGTTGAGAAGATTATTTCAGTCAAACTGTTTTAGCGATAGTATTACCTAAAAGTAAGGTCACAATTGACCGATAGAAACAAAGTTCGTTCTTGCTCAACCACCGATGCATTTGGCCTAAAGGAATTCGACTATTTCCAGTTGTTTTTCTTGCATAAACAGTGGGATAACAGACAGCCTGGTGAATATTCTTCAATAAATCCAACTTTATTTTAAATCTTTGACGTTTGTGGATCAGTGGATTCCAGTAGTTGATTGCGTCTGATGCCTCGTAGCATTAGACGAGCATTTGTTCATGTTTCAATCTCGTGGCTGGGGCGCAGCTATTTGCCTTTTCGCGGGACAACCACGGGTCTGCTAAGTTAGAGCGCTGCTAAGTAATATCTTTAAAGGGCCCTCTAGTCAGTCACAACTCTATTTTTGTTCACATACTAGAGTTTGACTATTATAGTTTATTCGGAGCATGTCGAAACGACGGAAATTACTAAAGATAATTAAACATACTTTCAGGAACACAGCTTACAGTAAAACAATAAAACTTTGCTTCACCATGCAATGTCAATAATTTCGATGGCATCGAAACTGGCGAAGGCTGACTAGGGAATTTTCTTGACAGAAGACACTAATTAGCAACATCTTATTGCTTCTGCTTTTACTTACGCGTAAGTGAAAAACAGCTTTTAACCTATTCTTGTCCCAAGAAGCCGCGCTCCGTTTGGTCAGCACCAAGAACCGCGACCTCTGGCCGAACCCGATTTTCTGAGCTTGCGCAGAAACAGCGGAAGTCCGCGTTTCACGAACTTCCCGTCAAATCTGGCAAATGTGATTCGCTAAGAATACGAAACAAATACTCTGCGCATGCTAAGAAAATCGGATTCAACCAGAGGTCGCGATTCTTGGTGCTTACCAAACGGCTTGCTTTGAGCATGCGCAGGTAAAAGAACCTGGACTCCCTCTTCTCTCGCCTTGGTTCACCCTCCAGGGTGGGGAAAGGAGAGTTCCAGGACTGAACTAAGCAACAGTTGAAATAAGCAAACTAGTCATTCGGGAGTTTGGGCTACATTGATACATCGATACATTGATACATTGATGCCATAATTGTATAGTTTTGTCACAAAGGAAATTGTTCTATCACTGACTGAAAATCAGTTTACTAAATTGGCATTTGCGCAGTGTACGATCATCATCAATCGTCTTTGAACGGTTTTAAAGTAGTTTGTGGGGCTAGTGAAATCGAGCAATAGCATGAACTACTTATAGAGGACTCGGAAATAAATTTGAATTTTGACCACTCGTAGAAATACATTGCCAGATTGCTTAGCTGAACGGTGGCATGGCCGAAAGTTTTCTTCAGCGAATTTTTCCGATACTCCTTTCAGTTGTTTACGACTTAGTGTTTCAAAGGACCTAAAATAGGTACCTAGATTGATAGTTGAGTTAGAAAATTTAAAAATCGACAGATTTGGTATTCCAGAAAGAAACTGTTCTAATTTCAAAACGTACCGAGTAAGAGAGAGCAAACTGGGAACGAGCTTGCTCGTGCAAAATTATCCTCTGTGTTGCTTACGTCACAATAGCTTC